TTTCCTCCAACTTGGGGGGGCGGGGCGGGGCGGGGCGGTCTCCGTCCTCTTCCATACCTGGGGTTTCTGTCCACTCCCACCCCCCGGGTCTCTTCCCCGCCCACCGCATCTGCTTTCCTCCCACCTGTATTGAGGGATTGAGCACGCAGCCTGGGGAGCTGCACCCGGGGCAGGCAAGGGCACATGGTGTCTGGACCTCATCACCTTGCAATTGCGCCCTAGTCCCAGAGTTCTCTACCTGCTGTGCTTCGGTTTCCTCCACTGGAAATAGGGGTCATGGTAGAATCCCCTCGCAGGGTGTTGAAGGGATGAGGTGAGATGTAAAAGCAGCCCCTGGAATGGTGCCTGGCAGTGGGGTTAGTAATGGAAGAATATATGGGTGGGCTCTGGGAGGGCGTCAGACTTACCCAGGGAGAGACTGGATTGGGAGGTTTAAGGGACTGACATGGCCCCCTTGACTCTTGGACTGCCCTCAGTGAGCATGTTTGCTGTGGGCTGCAGCATGGGCCCCTTCCTACACTACTGGTACCTCTGGCTGGACCGCCTGTTCCCTGCATCTGGCCTCCGTGGACTTCCAAACGTCCTCAGGAAGGTCCTCATCGACCAGCTGGTGGCCTCTCCCATGCTGGGTGTCTGGTACTTCTTGGGTAAGGAGCCCCATGAGCTTGAGCTTTGCAAATCCTCTTAGGTCAGGAGGGGCAGAGCCAGCCTTGTGTTAAGAAGGATGCCCAGGTACATTTCTGATGCACCTCCTGTGTGGGTGGTCCTGGATTGGAAGCTGGGTTACAGTGGGAACAGGTCAGACCTAGTGGGGGTAGGTGTGAATGATAGAATCACAGACAGTGGTATAAGTGTAGGAGGAATGTCTGATGGGGCTGCCTCAGGGGGAGGGGGTTTGGAAGGGGTTCCCAAAGGAGAGGAACTCAGAGACCTGAAGGAGTCAGCAGGCAGAGGAACAGCCCGAAGGAAGAGGAGCCAAGACTGGGGTTTGATGGGGCACAGTCACCCCAGCCCTTCCCTCTAGGAAGAAAGTCCTCACCTATTCTCCACCTCCCAGGCTTAGTTTCCTAACTAAGGCTGTTTTATTACCTGTTTTATTACCTGTGAAGGACAGGTAATAAAATAGCCTCAGCATCAGGAAGGGTGTGTCTCCATCCTTCAGATGGACCTGTCTCCCTCACTGTGACCCACTTGATCTGTGTTGTTTCCGCAAACCTACCACCCTACTGTATAAGCTTTCAAATGTCAGGTTCCTCTGCCTGGGACACTTTGTCCCTCAGGGGTCCTGCCCCACTGGCTCCATCATTGGGACTCCCCAGCCTCTGACACTCTCATCTCCTCCCCAGGTCTTGGTAGTCTAGAGGGCCAGTCCCTGGAAGAGAGCTGCCAGGAGCTTCGGGACAAGTTCTGGGAATTCTACAAGGTGGGCATGTCATCCCAGGCTCTACCCACCCTGTTCATTCTCCTCCCTCTCACAGCTTTCTAGCCCCACCCTTTACCACATTCTGTCCCTCCCCACAGGCTGATTGGTGTGTGTGGCCTGCTGCGCAGCTGGTGAACTTCCTCTTTGTGCCCCCCCAGTTCCGAGTCACCTACATCAACGGCCTGACACTGGGCTGGGACACATACCTCTCCTACCTGAAGTACCGGGTGAGCCCAGTGGACAGACCAGGCACCCAGAAAACTCCTCAGGGGCCACACATGTGAGCTCCAAATGGCAGTACAGCTCCCCTCCCGGGTGAGGGCCTCCTGTGCCCTTGACAATCTGCACCCCATGGTTGGTGGGAGGGAAGCTGATCACCAGTAGGTGAAGACTGAGCACCTCTCAGTTGTCTAACAGAACCTTGGCCAGGTCCCTGCCCTCATCGTTTCAGCAAGGATGACCCCAGCCCCCAGACAAGTGGAGGGCTTGGTGAGGAGCCCGAAGGAAGAGATGAATGTGGCATGTGACTAGACTCTCTTGTGTGGACAGATCCCAAGCCCCCTGACACTCCCAGTTTGAGTGGCCCTGTGCAGACTGAGTTGCCCCACCCCCTTGACAGGATGCCAGACAAGGCAAAACTTACTTCCCTCCTGGGCATCTGGCTGGGCTGCCCCTTCCAAGTCCACTACCAGACCTTAGTCTTCCCATCTGGAACACAACCATGAAGATGGACAGTCATCCCCCAGGTATTCTCACTTCGAGCCTCTGTGACCAGGATGTCCCATCCTCAGGATGGGGCCCCAACCACCCAGCCAGCCCCAACCCCTCAACTGTGGACTGGGCTCTGAGCCCTGGAACAAAGGTGGGGACATTGCCCATCCACTCTGAGCAGGGCCTACCCAGGAGCCTGGCCCCTAGGATCTGGAGCCAGGCATCCCCAGTGTTGTGTGTCGTGTTCTGATCGTGAGCTGTGGAAACTTCATTAAATTCTCTCTCTAATTGAAAATTTCACAGATGACCATAGCCAGCGCTGGCAGGCAGCACTCATAGACATAGCATCGTCCATTTGTTTTATTGGATGTGTGTAGTGTTGTTATGACATCTCCTGGGGGACTGGGGGCACATTTGACACTCATGATGTCAGACAGGTCTGTGGGGGGTGTTCTCAGGGTGGTAACCACAGTAGCCCCTTTTTAAAAAAAAAAAGTAAGACTTGGGGCCAGGAGCCATGTGGGCCATTGCCCGACTCTGACCCACCCTCTGGTCCATGCTAAGATCCCACTGTGGCCTTGGCCCACTGTGTCACAGCTAACGGACTGGCAGGCTATCTTCCATCACCTGGTCACCCTGCCCTCAGGTGTCATCTCGACTCCTCTTCAAAACAGAACTATTAATGGGGGTGAATTTTTAAAAAGGTGGGGTGTGGAGAAGAGGATGAGTGGTGAGTTTGCAGGGCAAAGACACGCCACGGCAGAGCAGAAACAGGGCTGTATGTACAGGGCGGGGTGCAGGGGGTGGTGGTGCCAAGGCCCCAGGGGAATCTCCAATAAATAAATAAATAGCTACAATAATAAATAAGGGTGACGGGCTAGGGCTAAGTTGGGGCAGGGGTCTTGTGCCCATGGCCAGGAGGGGCCGGGGGGGGTAGGGAGCAGGGCAGGGACGGGTGGGCCAGCTCTCAGCAGGCGCAGTCCTGGTGCGGGGGCGCCTGCTGGTCCGTGAGCTGTGGGCCCTGCTTGGCGCCTGTGACAGCAGGGTCAGCTGTATCCAGTGACTCGGACATCTTCTCACAGATGACGTCTACCAGGCGCTCAAAGGTCTGCTTGACATTAATGTTGTCCTTGGCACTTGCCTCAAAGAACTCAAACCCTGTGGTCAGGAAAGGAATGGGTGAAGACATTGGGCCCCCCACTCCCAGAGACACTTCTCTGAGGTCAGAAATAACGAGGTTCCTAGTGCCAACTACACCATAAAGGCACTGGCAAGTCCCAGGGAAGTAACATTGAACTGGGTCAGCTCTGTATTTCCTGCACTCCCTTCACCCTAAAACTCCCCTTCTTGGCCCTGGCCGGTTAGCTCAGTTGGTTAGAGTGTCGTCCTGATATGCCAAGGTTGCTGGTTCGATCTCCGGTCAGGGGACATACAAGAAACAACCAATGAATACATAAATAAGGGAAACAACAAAGTGATGTTTCTCTCTCTCTAAAATCAACAAATTTTTATGAACACATACAAAATACTGTCCCCTTCTCATTGTCCCCAAGGCCCTGGTATGAACCACTCTCCTGCTCCCACACTCAGCCCAGCCCCATATACTGTCCCTGGTGGCATCTGACATTCAAATCCAGCCATGCCCGCTCCTGCTCATACCCTGTGACTCTCTATTGCCCTTGGAAGAGTCCCGGCTCTTCAGCATGTGGTCAGGCTCAGTGCGATTGGCCATATTTCATCCCAGTTACCCTCATGTTGCAGCTGTGTAAAAGTATGTGCCAAAATGCATTGGATCTTTCCCACCTTTGCCTTCTCCCAAGGTGTTTCCTCTGCCTGAAGGACCATCCTTTCTTCAAGTACCAGATGTAATGTCCTCCCTCCACGAGGCCTTTGAGGCAGTCCCCACTGGACTCCCCCAGCCTAAGTCCTATTCCACAAAGCTGAAGGCCTCTTGGGTGCCCAGCAACACCCAGCATGAGGCTGGGCAGTGAGAGTGTCAGAATGAATCAGAAACTTCCTGCATAGTGAACTACGAATCTACCAAGATCCACCTCACATGGCTCCTGGGTCAAGGCCAGTTTGCAGAAAGCATAAATTGTCTGAATTTGCATCCAGGCCCCATCCTGGCTTTGCTGTGAGACCTTGGGTGTGTCCTCTCCTCTCTCAGGGCTTCAGTGTCTCTCTTCTAGTCTATAGGTGTCCAGCCCCTCCGGGTACTCACCAAGGTGGTCAGCCAGCTGCCGACCACGTTCTGATGACACCACTCGCTCATCTTCCATGTCACACTTGTTCCCCACCAGCAGCACCTGGGCATTATCCCATGAGTAGGTCTTGATCTGAGTTGACCTGGAGGACAGGACAACAGGGGCAGGTTAGGGTTTGGAGGATCCAAGCTCCACTTCGTCACCCTACTCCAGTCCCCGCTCCCCATTATTCCATGAGCCTTGGCAGGTTCAGTTTCTCCTCCAGCCTTTGTCCTACCAGAAACACCCTGCTGTCTCTGGGTGTCTATTTCAGCAGTTCCCTGATCGACAAAATCTCTTTCAAGCAGCCTCTTTCACCCTTCCCAGATCCCTGCCCCCAGAGAGAATTTCTCCCTCCTCAGCAAAATCAGAAATTTTCTTCAAATTTATCGTTACTGCCCAGCCAGCATGGCTCAGCAGTTGAACATGGACCTATGATCCAGGAGATGGCAGTTCAATTCCCAGTCAGGGCACATGCCCAAGGTTGTGGGCTCGATCCCCAGTAGGAGGTGTGCAGGAGGCAGCCGATCAATGATTCTCTCATCACTGATGTTTCTATCTCTCCCTCTCCCTTCCTGTCTGAAATCAATAAAGACATATTTAAAAAAATTTTATCATTATTTCTGGGCAGAAATGTATATGTTTAAGCCCTTTAACCTGTGTAAACTGTCATATTTTCTGTCCCCCCGTCCCCAGGTTATTTTTCTATATGTTTAGTTTCATTTTTGCACCTGAAATCCTCTTTTCCCATTATTTTGAGCCAATGATGCCATTTTAATGATCGTAGATTGACAGCAGGTCTGAGACCCCAATATTGTTATTTATATATCTGCCAGGGAGTTGGGTCTCCCTCATCAGCCTGCACCCTAGGCTTTGCACCAAAGCCAGCTCAGAAGACAGTCTGAGAGGAGGTGAGGGTGTGCTCACCAGTCCTGCACAGCATTGAAGGACTCCTCGTTGGTGATGTCATACATGAGGATGAAGCCCATGGCACCCCGGTAGTAGGCTGTGGTGATAGTTCGGTACCGCTCTTGCCCTGCCGTGTCCTGGGAAAGAAGAGACGGGGTCAAAGACCCACATGTAAGTTCTTCAGTGGAAATGAGCTCTGAGACAGTCCAGTCCAGCTCCCTCAAGACCCAGAGAGGAGTAGGAGCTTGCCCAGAGGCAAGGGAGCAGAACCAGCCAGCCACCTGCACCAAGAATGTGGTGCTCAATCATCCTATAGTGTCTAGTACCTGAAGAATTGTTCCCTCATTCACCAATACATGTGTACAGGGCACTGCCCTGTGCCACACACCACACGGCACTGGGAACACAGCTGTAAACAAATAGACAAAAATCACTGCCCTTGTGGAACTGATAGCTCAATGCAGGAAACAGACAATAAACACACGAAAAGGAAGAAAATATATCCAATGTCAGAGGGTGATAAGGATTGAAGAGGAAAATAAAGCCTGACTGGGATGGGCAGTGTGGGCTGGAGCAGGGTTTAAAAACCTAAAGGAAGTGACAAGAGCACAGCCAGGCCAAAGATGCTTATGTGGGACTGCCTGGAGTGTTTGAGGAACAATGAGGAGGCAGAGGCAGCAATGGAGGGAGGGACAGACCAGGCAGGATCTCCTAGGCAGGGGAGGGGGTTGGGGTTTACCCTGTGTGAGGTGGGAGCCTATGGAGGCTCCCTCAGGCCTCTGAGGGTTTGTGGGAGGTAGCCAGGAGACCCTGGGGAGGTGCCTGTCCCAGGCAATGAGGTTGGGGGCCAACACCTGGTGAAACCTCAGACTCACATGGAAGAACTTGCAGATGAGGAAACTGAGGCACCAAGCCCAGTGATGCTCCTGCAGATATCAGGTGTAGGAAAGAACCCAGCATTGGCTCATCCCCCAGCCCTGGAGAGCACCGATTAAGCTCCAATGGAAGAGGAGGGGCTCTCTCTTCTGTGCCTTTGGTACACAGTAGTCACATGGTAAATGCTCAGTTGTGTGAATGAATGAAAGAGATAGGCAAAGCTGGGGCTGCTTTTCCAGGAAGGGAGAGTGAACCCCCCAGCAGGACCCACCCAGATCTGCAGCTTGATCCTCTTGTCATTGCGGTAGATAGTCTTGACCTTGAAGTCTATGCCCACAGTGCTGACAAAGGCAGGTGTGAAGGAGTCATCTGCATAGCGGAAGAGGAAGGATGTCTTGCCCACGCTGCTGTTACCAATGATGAGGATCTTGAACATGTAGTCGAAATTCTGGTCCGAGGATTCCTTCTGTCCATAGCGCGAGTCTGTGGCCGACGCCATCTGGGAATGTGGGGCGTGGGCTAGTGTGAGGTGTCCCCTGCCATCCCCAGGCCCAGGCCCAGGATAGAGAAAACTCTAGAGCCACAGAAAGGAACTAGCATGCCACCAGAAGCCCCAGTACTAACTGTGGAGCCCAGGGCAGAGGGACCACTGTGACCTTGAAAGGCAGGGAAGGGGGGGTGGTATTTCAGTGAGGAGTTCAGATAAACAGGGATGGGGACACCCCTGCAGCCCCCTCCAGCAGGCCTGTGCCCCAGGTCAGGCTGTAACCCTAAACCCTACGACTGTGCCCGGAGGGGGTAACTGCGGCAGGCCCCGCCCCCCATCAATCATTTATGTTCCTCAGAACTCAACGCAGGCACACCTGGACAGTCCGACTGGAGGCACGTCTGCAGCCCCTCTTCCCTAGGACTCCCAAGGTGGGGGAGCTCAAGCTGAGGCAGCTGCATCACGTGATAGGGGTGGAGTGTGCACACACTCACATGCACACAGCAGAGCACACACCCGTTAAAAGCGCGTGCACAAGAGGGTCGAACACACTGGGTACCCAGAACAGAGATGCAGCCACTTGTCTTCACACCGACATGCATATACAAAGGTGCAAACCCACACGTGCACACGGCGCCCTCCACCCATGCAGGGGTGTGTATGTAACCGACACGGGCACGAATTCCCGTGTACGTATGCACACGGCCGTGCACGCACACGCACACGCACAATCCATGCGTTTCTCTCCACAAGCGTGCAGCAAGGGCACACTTGGGTCAGGACCCACACGGGTCACACGAGCATATCCAGGTACACACGCAAGGGTACACACAGACTCGCTGACACAGGCGGGCGCGCACTCGCGTGTGCAAACCCCGCGCACGCGCACGCACAGCTTCCCGCAAGGCACTCGCCTCCCCTCCCCCTCCGCTGCAGAGGCGGGGGGTGAGGGGGATGAGGGTCGAGCAGGTGAGGGGAGCCAGGGCCCTACTCCTCCCCAGGCCTACGACTGCCTCATCCTCCCTCCTTTAACCCCCACCAACCTCGTCCCCCACCCCCGCCAGCCCATCAGTCAGATGAAGGTTATTTAGGTGCTTTGAGCGGGAGCGCACCGGGCCTCCCAGGAGCTCACCTTGCCCTGCACCGATGCGGTGTCGACCTTAGCAACGGCGACTTTTTTGGCAGCGCCGGTGACGAGCCCCCAGTGCGCTGATGTAGGGCTGCGCGGCAGCAGCTCGAGCCCCTGCAGTCTGCGGTGACGTCCTGCAAAGAGCGGGGTGGGTCCTCGCATGCAGATACAGCTGTGACGCCATCCTGGGGCGGAGCCGCGCTAAAAGCTGTGGCTCACTGACGCCCACAGAGCTAGGAGGGGCGTGGCTCCCGTGCAGATTGACACACAAACGGGGCGGGGCCCACCGTGCGCATCCAGTAGCGGGCGGTAACGTAACAGGAGGGGAGGAATTGCCTTCAGGCCCCGCCTCTTGTAAATGTCATGGAGGCGGGACTGCGCAGCAACCTCTAACTGGCTTAAGCCCTCGAGCGACGGGCCGAGGACCCAATCAGTGATTATCATTTTCCTCCTTCTGTCCAGTAGTGGCTCCCCAGCCGCTGGTGACGAGAGGCCAAGGCCTTGGCAGAGCCCGGGTGTTCAGGGGGCGTTCCCCTTCCCCTCCTCCGCTCATCCAGGTGGGACATCTGGCGGTCCCCACCCAGGCCTGGTTGCTGTGACCTCTCATCAGACTCTCCCTATTCCTATCTCCAATTTTTCAGAAAAGAGGAACAGAGGTCGAGAGCTGCTCCATACCTCCTATTTATGGGGTTCAAAATAAATTAGTACAAAAGAAGAAAAAGCGGAAATAGGAGTTGAGAGAGACCCTGTCCATTTTCTGAGATGTAAGACCTCCTAAGTGGGCTGGGCTGATAGAAGCACCAATATGTTTCAGAGGTGAAATAAGAACTAGGGACCAGGCCAGCCGGGTGTGGCTCAGCGGTTGAGTGTCGGCCTAGGATCCAGGAGATTGCGGTTCGATTCCCGGTCAGGGCCCATGCCCGGGTTGCGGGCTCGCAGCCGATCAATGACCCTCTCATCATTGATGTTTCTCTCTCTCTCTCTCTCTCCCTCTCCCTTCCTCTCTCTAAAATCAATAAAGATAAATTTTTAAAAAACAAATAGGGACCAATAGAGTCAACCCTCCCCACCAATTCCCAGAAAAATGTAAGGGGCTGATGGGTGCTCCAACCACCCCACCCTGCCTGAGCCCCATTTGCCAGAGAAAATTTCTAAGAAAAGGCAGAAATAGAGCAGAGAAACTGCCTGTCCCCTAAACATGCAAAGCTTACAATAAAAGGCTCAGGAACAAGGAGGGTAGGAGGGAGGCTTCGAGATCCAACAATAAAGAGGCCGGGCTGGAAGAGGCTTCACCCCTCCCTGGTTCCTAGTTTAAGACAGGGCTGGGGAAACAAGACTCAGAGTGGAGACTCTGGGGGCTGAGATGCTCCATTGTTTTCCCCCCAGAATCTTGAGGGGGGGAATCAGAATTGCGGGGGGGCGGGAGAATGAGACATCTGTTCCCCAGTTGATTTGTACTTTGAGTATGTTATCTCAGTGCCTAGCTCAGGACACACTTTGCTGAAATGTTACCTGTTGTTGCAATTATGTGACCCTCACAAAGATCCCACTTTATCCATCAAATGACAAAGGCTTCGGAAGGTTAAGGGACTTGTTGAAGTTGTAAAGTCCATTTTGGGGGACACTGAGGATAGTGCAGTGGACCTGGCCCAGGCATCCCAGGATCATGGTCTGGAGAGTGCGTCGGACATGAATCAAAGAATTCCCTAGAGCTTCCACCAGTGCGAGCCTGGGGTGGGGTATTAGGGAGGACCTCCCAGAGGAGGGGCCGCTGAGCTGAAACCCAAAGGGTGAGGACAACGGGGGAAAGAAGCATTCTAGGTGGTGGGTAGAGCATGCGCAAAGGCCCCAAGGTGGGGCTGTGCTTGGGGTGTGGGAAGCCAGGGTGGGTAGAGTGCAATCAGTAAGGGGGAGTGGGAGGGATGCCTGTAGCCCAAATTAAAGGGGGATATATGAGTGTTCTTATGAATGGGTAGAGAAAAATCCAGAGGGAAATAAGGTGAAATGCTGAAGACAGATGGTTTATGGGTGAGGTTATAACTGAATTTTATTTTCTTCTTTATGTTTCCATTATTTCCAAATTATCTAAGGTGAACATGTACTACTTGTAAGTAAAAGGGGAGGGAGAAAAAATTGTAAATGAGCATCCCCTAAATCTCTGCCTTTTAAAGATCTGGGAGCAAATTCACCAGATGATGTTTAATTCTCCCTCTGTAGAATTTGACCATTAATTGTGATGATAAATTATCAATGGAATCATTTAGTAATGAAGCAAGCTGCTCTGGAAACCAGAGGCTGCTGGGAGGACCTGTGTCACACATAAATTTTCAGGCACACTGAAAAGGAGGCAAGTTTCAGGGTGGAATACTGAGCCTTCTGGAGATGGGAATTGAACCTGAGACTTGAACACAGAGCCGCCAAGTCCACTCCTGCCCCAGGCTGAGCTCCAACAAGCGAGATGCAGGAAGAGCAGCCAACCAGACTAACAGGACCCCCAAATTTGTCACCCCTCCAGCTACAAGGGGGTGCCGCTGGCTAAGGTCCAGTGCCCGAAGCATGGCCTTGAGCAAGCAACAGGACTGCTCTGTGCCTCATTTTCCCCATCCATGAAATGGAAGTGATACTAGTTTTCGTTAATAAGGTTTATTTAACCCCAGAGAAATGTTCAATGCCCCAAATTTCTAAGATATTTCAGGGTGTTCACAGACACTGCCCCTCAACCAAAGTTTACCCAAATACTAGGATCAGGCCATAGAGGGGAAACTGAGGCCCAGGAGACCTCCATAAGAGTCTGGGCACCCTCAGAACCAGGAGATACAGAGACCCACCATAGAGGGGGGACAGGAATTGTGTGATTTTGTTGCTGTCCTATAAGAGGGAGAACGGGGGGACAGCAGTAAGTCCTGGGGTCAGAGAGAATAGGTGCACCCAGAGACACCGCTGAAGACAAATTACAGCTACTCGAAGCAATAGCTGATGTACAAGCAGCAACAGGACACGTCAGCCTTCAGAGATGTCCCCACACAGTGCCCTCTTTGCTGCCCCCTTACCACCCCCTTCCAGAGCTCCAGAACCAGAGCTGGGACTGGACAAAGCTTTGGTGCCACACATTTCCCCATTCAAGGTCCCATTCTCCTGCGGGGAGCTGCCCAGCAGATGAAAGGGAGGTGCCCGTGGGGAACATCTCCTTGTGGCTGACTCCTCACCCCCTTGCACAAGGATACCCTAGAGGTACATAGCAGGCACAAGCCTGGCACATAGTAGGTGCCCAATAAATATCTGATAAAGAATGAAAGAGTAAGTGATGGATGTGGCTCAAAAGTGACCACAGGAAAAGTGGGGCCTGACCCAGCCCCAACTTCAGAGCTGACTCTGGAGGAGGAGAGCTCTCTTAGCAGAGCCAGGAGTCAGAGTGGACTCCAGCCAGGTATCCCCAATTCGACCCTGAAACTTGCCTGTAACTAAAAGCCTGATCGTCTCCCTCAGCGTGTGGAGAAGGCAAGGCATGAGTCGTCTGGGATCTCCTTCTGGAAAGTCCACCCACTCATTAGGGGCTATTAGGTGCCAAATGGCTCAGCCAGCACATTGCCCTCATGGTCCATGCAGGGCTTGCCCACGGTCCTCTGGCTGTCTACGCATAAGGTCCCAGGGTCTGAGCTGGCCTCGAAGAACAGGAGCTCAGTGTCAGGTGACTCCGAGGCCTCCTGGGCCAACATTCTCTCCTCCTCCTCCTCCTCTTCTTCTGCCTCCTCCAGAGTCAGCTCAAACTGGAATCTGTCAAGGCCACCCTGCTCAGGGCTGGTGGGATCCATGGGGCTGCGGGGGATCTTGCTCAGGTACCACTCGCGGTTGTCCTCCAGTGTGTCCAGCAGATCCTGTGCATCTGGGTGTACCAGGTCAGCCCATGTCTCCCACAGTGGGTGGGCGATGTAGTCAATGAAACCCACCTGTGGGGTGATATGGGGTTATGTAGGGGAGGTAGCCATGCTGTGAGTCACCATGGAACCTAGACCCAGTCAAGCCTTCAGGCCTAGGTTGTTCTCTCTCCCTGGAATGCCATTACCAAACTCCTACTCATCCTTCAAAACCCTCTTCAAACAATCCCTCTTTTAGAAAGCCTCCCTGCCCCTTCTTGGTTCCCCCAACCCCTAAGTCTTTCTTTCCACCCCAGCACTGACCCCTCAGGTCTGGGTGTATGTGTCCCCAGACTAAGATCCCCTTGAGGGTCCCCCATACCACTCGGGACAGACATTTTCAAACCCCATGAATGCAGATCCCTTTCCCTGTGGCCCAGGGAGAATGCATCCCTGCCTGACTCCACACAGCCCAGGGCAGACCAGGCCTTTGGGCCACACTCCCTCATTTACCAGCCAGGGGTCAAGCCGGAACACATGGGGTCAGCTCCGTCACTCCTTTTTCTCCCCATGCTCAGTGCCCACCAGTTTGACCCAGTCATCCTCTGACCTGGGACTTCTCCACTGAGGCTGTGTGCTTGTCGCACATGGGGCTGATGTCCAGGCCCGAATCTCGCTCACGGTCTCCCTGCTGGAAGAACTCAGCCATGATGCGGTCTGTCCACTGGCGGTACAGGGGCAGCGGCTTAGTGGGGTTGCTGAGGTCAGCACAGTGCACCAGGTTCTGCAAGACCTGCGGAGACCAAGGCTCGGGAGGGCTGGGCCAGGCAACATCAGGCCCAGAACCCCCGTTGCCAGGCTGACGCCATGGACACACCCCTCTTACAGGTGGGGAAATTGAGGCCCAGAAGGGAAAGGAGTGGCTAAAGCACAGTCACGTGAGTTTTGGTGCCTCCATTTCTTCAAGTTTGACACCCAGTCAACACTTCATAAGTGCAACTGAGTGAGAGGCAGGGAAACTGAGGCTCCAGGGTCTGCCCAGCCACACACCTGGATGCGATCAGAGTAGTTGTCCAGCAGCAGGACTCCCAGGCTTGTCACTTTCTTGGTCTCCACCATGGTCTTGAGGTCAGCCAGGAGGTTCATGTGTTTGGACATGTCAGTAGCCAACACCTGAGGACAGGTGAGGGGAGAATGACAGGTATGAGCGTTGCTCCCACCCCACCCCTTACTCCCAGACATCACACCCACTAGGACCCTCAGCCCTCTGAGCTTCAGCGTCCTCATCTATGAAATGGGGGGATGTAACACGACTGGCTGCAAAGCCAGCTCACGAAAGAAGCTGAGTCAAAGATGTGTGCCATCTTTGAGGTCATTAGGCTCATGGGGTGCATTCCACACGTTCAAGGTTAAATATGGGGGCTGAGGTGAGATGTACCTGAGGGCAGCAGTAAGGCTCAGCCCAGGACATGGCCTGTGCAAAGGCCCTGGGGCTGGATGAGCTGAGGAACATAGAGAAAGCACTTATGGCTGGAGCAAGTGAGGTTGACAGGAACAGGAGAGAGCCTGGGGGAGAAGTGGGGAACTTATCCAGAGGGCCATGGGATCCATGGGTGGTCTTGAAGCTGGGAGGAACCTGACTTGGTGCTCCCCAAATTTCCCCATGGCCACCGTGTACCTGGGAAGGCTGTTTTCAGTAATTTGGAGGGAAGTTCAGCCCCAAACATAACTTTAAAAATCAGCATCGCTGGACCCATGTGGACCCAGCCCAGGAGTAACAGACAACCAGCCCATGGGATTCTCTGAGAATCAGACAAAAGTCTCAAAACTTCCCAAACCTCCAGTCTGCCCCAAATGATGCTCACCACCCAAGGCCCCAACTCTGTCTCACCAGAATTTTAGTTCCTTTTCACTGGGAGCCTCAGTTTCCTCTGAACCCTCCCCACATGTTGTTCCCTCTGCTGGGAATACTCCTCGTCAGCCCCTCCCCACCCTGCAGGCCCCAGCTTCAGTGTTTCCTGTTGGGGAAGCCCTACCTGACCTTGAGTATGCCCCCATCATAGCTCTGCTTAGGGGTCCCCACTATGGCTCCCACCTACATGTCCATCTCCCTCACAAACTGGAATCTCAGACAGACCAGAACTGTCTTGGTCACTATAAAGAGCAAGCATACAATAGGTGTTCAATAAATGCTTACAAAATGATTTAATGAGGCATGAGACCCCAAAACTTACTGGTAGCTTCCAATTTGAAAAGTACCAAATGGACAACTAAAGGCTCAGAAAAAAAAAAATTGCACCTGAAACCCCAGAAGCTCAGTTTAGTTTCCACATCGCTTGTGTGTAAACCACAGCAAAGACCAAGGGCTTGGTCACCCCACCCAGGGCTTAGAAGGTCATTGCCCTATTTTATAGATCAGGAAGCTCAGGTCCAGAGTGGAGACATGCCCAGGTCTGACTGGTGAAGATCACCCCACCCCGCCTATCGCTGTGAACTCACTATGTCAATGACCATCCTGCGCAGACTCAGCCACTGCCTGGTGCTGAGGTTCTGGAAGATATTGCAGTTCTCTGCCTGCAGCAGCTTGAAGCCCACAGCCAGGTGGTGGTTCTCCAGCACAGAGGTGTCATTGTACATAAGCGCAAGCTCCGAGTCTGTGGGGAAGGTGGAGAACCTCAAGATCTGCTCGACAAACCCACTTCACCAAAAGGCAGGTTTGGTGAACTCTTGAAAACTCTTACTCATGCATTGAAGCCCCAACTCTAATGCCCTCTCCTTCAGGAAGCCTTCTATGACTCTGTGTCTCTCTCTAGCCATGCCCTGACTCCAAGGGGCTGGGAGCATCTGTGCTCTGCTCTGCCTCCTTGAGACTGGAGACTCCTTGGGGACTTGACATGGCAAGAAAGAGTTATCCTAAGTGCTGGTTGAATGAACAACTGAATCTTTATCTAATTAGACTCTGGGATCCTTGAGTGAGAGGGCTCTACCCTCATCCCCAGCTCTCCTGGGATGTATACAAGAGGTGCCCAATAATTGCTTATTGACCTGCTTTTTCAGATACCTCAAAGGACCCTAAACTTTAAAATCTCAGTGGGCTCAGATCAGCTCTGCCACACTTGTTATTCTCTCATTTACTGAGTGTCTACTATGTACCTGCACCCACTCTGAGTACCTAAGGAAGAGAAGATTGTCATAGCCATTTCACGAACAGGAAAACTAGGCTCAAAGCAGGGATGGGACCACTGGAGATCATATGATTGACAGGTGGAGGCAGGGCCCCCTGACTCACTGGTGTTAATGAGAAACTGGTTGGAGACCCCAGGATGGTCCACATCATGGATGGCACTTGCAAAGATGGCAGCCAGGACTTCCAAGTCTGTGAACACGGCCTGAGCAGGCATGGGCATAAGAGGTGAGGGCGGGCTCTCTGCACTGCACCCTGCACCTGTCCAGATTGCCTGTAGGGCCATACCTCAAGTGCAGGCATGGCCAGCAGCACATGCGTGGACTGGGCCACATCAGCGGCATGCAGGCTGTTATGGTAGGCCACATCGGCATGGTAGTGACCCTCCAGTGTCAGCAGGTAGGTGACAAGTGTGTCTGCTGGGATCTGAAATGTCTTGAGCAGGTCCCGTTTCTGGTTCACCACAGGCCCCCAGTTAGGACCTCAGTTTCCAGGTGGCAGCACACTTCTCTCCTTCTGAACTTCTATCCATCTCTCAAATGCCCCATCTTCCAGGATGCCCTCAATTCTGAATTCACTTGGTCTCTGTCCTTCCCCTCTGGTCTATCTCTGACCCCCACAGAAGTTCCCTCCAGACTGGGTCTCTTCAAGCCTGGGCCCAGGGCTTAGGCTTGTTGACAATCAGCTATGAACTGATCAGCCTAGTCAACTCCTATTCATCCTTCAATACCCTGCTCAAACAATCCCACTCAGGGGTGTTAGGGAGGAGTCGAAGTATATGTTTCTCTGAGGTCTTGAGGTAGGAAGGGATGAAAGAAGCCCAGGGGTATTGGAAGCCAAGGGCATGGGAGGTACCTGAAAGATGCTGAATATGATGGCTGTGAGGGGCCGGTTCCCACTTAGCTCTGCCACCTTGAACACATCAAGCCCCCACTTATTGGTGTCTTCCAGTTCCTAAAATGTGAAGAACTGGAGCTTGACCCCAGCCCAACTTCCCCAGACTTTGGACCTGCAAGCTCCTCCCCCAAGCCCCAGATCTTACATTTAGCCCCACAAGTGGGCAAACTGAGGCAAAAAACAGGGCATCCTGAACTCTACTCCGGGTCTCAGCATTCTAGTTGGGAACCCACCTTGGCCAGTTGCCCCTCCTGGTCAGTCTGGACCCCAAAGCGTGGGATGGTGGCTGTGGAGAGGCTGGCACTGTGGGGGAGCCCATGCAGGCCGCTGATCTGGGACACTGGCCTTGAGGGTTCTGTTGGGGTTCCCCCAGGTAACTCCACCTCGGTCTGCTGGTCTGGAGGGAGGAAAGGGTGGGACTCAGAGAAGCCAATTCACCTGCTAGGGTTGTCCTGCCTAGCCTCAGGTCCCAGACTTTGCTAAGCCTCAGGATTAACTTATTTCCTTTTTACCTGGATCAAAGTAAATTCAGAGCAAAGTCCCAGTCTGGCCTGCAGCTATCCCTCTTTTCATGGCTAATCTCAGTAACCCATTCTGATGGACATGGCCCCTGAAAGCCTGGGGCTCAGTGTTTTGCCCTAAACAGCTCAGTGTCCTTTCTATCTCCCAAGCTGGAGACCCAGCTGTCTGGTTTCCTCCATCTCCTTCTTGGAAAACTTCTACTGATGCTTCAATACCCTAGCTTTACTGTTCCCCTCCTCCTGGAAGTTCCTCCTGTTCCTCCCTCTGGTCCAGCCTTCACCCTGTGGCTCTGTCTTTCCCAGGTGAGGTCTGTAATAGAAGTCTTTCTTTTCTTCTTTCTTTCTACCTTTGTATGTTGCCCAGGCAGTGACCCACCATAGCTCACCCAGGAAGGTTCGTGAAATGTACTCTGACACCTGGTTCCCAGAGCGGCTGGTTTCAGACAAGTGAGTCAACTCCCGGTTCAGCATCCGCTTGAACTGCAGGGGAAGGTGAGGACAGTGATGAGGGGGCACTGTGGGCAGAGGCAAGTGATCTCCAATCTCTGGCCCTCCTCACCTTGTTGGAAGCCATCTCCCCCACTGAATGCCGGGTCTGCAGTGTCTCCAGCTGATCCAGACACCAGTCCAGCTCATCCAGTGTCGCCAAAGCCAGCTTCTGCCCAGTGTCCTCTGGGGGCTGAGCTGTCAGGAGCCTGCTTCACCCCCACTCAGGGACCCCACACCCTTCATGCCTCCACTCTACATCAGGACCTAGAGCCCTTCCCAGTGGGGACACTCAGGAGCCCAGGTTTTGAGTTGCAGACCTGTCCCCAAGGGGCTATGTGACCATGGGCAGGTTTCTGTCCCTCTCTGGACCTCAGCCTCCCCATCTGTAATATGGGCATGGTAGACTCCATCCCCTAGGGTTTTTTCCAGTGTTACAATGAGCACAGCCTAAGGATTCATGGGCTAGGAAGGTCACCATGGAGAAGAAATTGACAGCAGTACCACAGTGTAAGCAAGGGGTAGAAGCAGGAGCATTACCTGTAGGTGGAGGGGGCTGACTGCCAGATGGGGGGTCCCTGACGGATGCCTGCCTGCAGTACAGTCCGCTCAGGGGTGGTCCGCCTCACCCATAAGGCCCCACCACCACCCAGCCCTGCCCTTCTCTCT